ATTCCCCTGTGGCGGCTGGAATTAATCCGAACAATTCCTTAAAGCACTCCCCGCGGTAAATTCGATAGAAAATGCAAAGGGACGCTACATCCCTACGCAGTGCCAGTGTATCGAGCCGATTAGAACGAACTCGATCGTCGACGATTCGAACCGCTCTGCGCTGGATGCGGTCATGTGGAAGGAGCTGGCACTAAGGTGCCCCGGCCAAGAGATGAGAACAGTATTCCATGTGAGGTCGAACTTGTACTTTGTAAAGTTGCAAGCGATGTGCCGGCATGAAATACTGTCTCGCTCTGGGGAGTGCCGTGAAACTGAGGAGATACAACAAGGGGATGGTAAACGCGCAAACTTGTCTTCTGGGGACTGAACTGGACTATATTTAGTCGCTCCTAATACGAGACTTTGTTCAGCAGAGACTCGACTTCCGACACAAGTTTGTCCCGGTTTTCCCGAGAAATATTGGCACGGCCGCTATATAAGGCATCACCAGTGCTGTCGTCTGCATAGCAATGAATGTTACCAGCTTGCAACATATCATCGATATGCAGGAGAAACAGGGTTGGTGGATAGTACGCAGTCTTGTGGAACACCAGCGTTGATATTCTTGAAATCAGAGCATGCACCGTCTACTACGATCTTGATGCTCCGATCAGTAAGGAAACTGGTGATCCATTTGCACAATTTCTCGGGAAGCCCATAAGAAGGAAGCTTCGAAAGAAGCGCTTTGTGCCAGACCCGATCGAAGGCCTTCGCTATGTCCAAACTAACGGCCAATGCCTTTCCCTTGGGCTCTACTGCCTCCACCCATCTATGAGTCATCAGTAGACCAGAAGATCACCAGCTGATCGACCCTGATTAAAAACCGTATTGGCGGTCACTAATCAGCTGGTGGTCCTCAAGGTACCACATAAGCTGGCAGTTTATAATGGATTCCATTATTTTGGAGAACAAGGAGGTGATGGCAATAGGTCTGTAGTTGGACGGGTCTGAGCGGTCGCCTTTTTTAGTGATAGGGTGGACCAAAGCCGTCTTCCATGAATTCGGTACTACGCCTTGGGAGTAGGAGTGCAGAAAAGGACGCGTTAAAACCGGTGCCAACCCCGAAGCACACATCTTCAGCACAATGGGAGGGACTCCTGATGGAGTCACTCCCATTCGGCCGTCAGCAAGCCCAATCGACTTGCTGACGTCCAGGGAGAAGAGTGCTTTGCGAACCGAGCGCTGTGTAAACCGCACATCCGACATAGAGCACTTACACCGCGGGATGATCGGCGGTGTGTTCCCCCCGTCATCTAAAGTCGAGTTGGACGCAAAGAGAAAGCTTAACAGAGACAGTGAGTCGTTCTCTCTGTGCAATGATGGAAGAGATGGCAGACAGAAGTTCCCTTGGACAGCCTTGGCGAGAGACCAGAATGCACGGGTTCCTGAAGGAAGGCGTACTAGTTTCTCGCCAATTCTGCCGATGTGCTCAGACCTTGCCTTGGCAATGACGCTTTTGAAGGAGATGGAGGCGGAATTATACTTCTTTTTAAGAGCACTGGTGTTAACATCCCGAGACGTTGATGCGTCAGCCCAGGCCCGGTAGCACTCCTGCTTATAGCGTGATGCTATTTTACAGGAGCAACCAAACCATGGCTGGGATCTGTCTCCGATGGGTGCCACAGAGGATGAAATAAAAAGTTCCATACCCTGAAGTACCACATCAGCAATAGAATCGGCAACAACGCTGGGACCTTCTAGCGAGAAGCCAACCTGCCCCCAAGGGTAGGATGCAAAAAATGTCCGCATCCCGTCCCAATCGGCCGACCTATAGTGCCAAGGACGGCAGCAAGCTGCAGATCGTAACTGCGATGAGAGCATGAGTGGCACCGTACTCTGGATCAGACAATGGTCCAAAGAGCCCAGAGGGGCATTGACGGAGACCTGATATCCGTCCGGATGAGAGGTCAGCAGAAGATCCAACGGGGAAGGTACATGGTCCTCTAAATCTGGGATCCGCGTACGCGAAGTAACCAGTTGTTTTATACCATATACCAAGGCAAAGTCATACACAGATCTACCCGCATGATCGGTTAAACGGGAACCAAGCCATTCAGCGTGGTGGGCGTTTAAATTACCAAGTATAACTATCTCTGCGGATGGGACCTGTTGTAGCACAGAGTTTGCAGCCATTTAAACCTGGTCGATGAGTCGGTCTGTGTCGGCATTACTGCTATGGGACCTATAGAGACCCGTAGACGCGGGGATGGCCGTCGCTCTCTACGCGCAGCCATAGGATGAACAGGTCCGTAACTTCAAGACTACCAAGGCGTTGAAAACAGATGTACTCTCAGAGTCCCGGTTAAAAACAGCAAGGCCGGCTTCGCCGTCTCTAGATGGTAATGGACAGCGTTAAGGTTGGAATGAAGTCCCCTGATGTTGCAAAAATTCACGGAGAGCGTGACAGAGGTCGCCTTGGTCTTATTGCTCCGCTTGCCCCGAGCAGTATTAGTCGCGAGTGGAATCCCCCCCCCCCCCCAGGAATACGTGGGGTAGCCTGAGCACCCACGCTCAGGAGTGGAGTAGTTTGGTCGTGAATGCTCAGCGAGGGATTCCCCAGGGTTGCTGGTACCCTCCTGGGGTAGTCTTTTATTTCATTCCGCTACCACCGCTACCATGTTGATGGGTGGGGGGGGGGATTGGGCCTCCAGCCACCTACACTTACCAAGCGGAACGCAGAGGTAGACCTCTACTTTACGCTGGTATTGTGTGAGGTCGTGGTATTACCCCGGTTCGAGCCTGCCCATCCGTTCGACAGCAAAAGCTGCCGCGTGGCTCTGCCACTGTTAAAAGATACCTAATACATTACATAAAAAAATAACAAATAATAATCTAATGAGTTTGTGTCAGTTTTTAAAAAGGTTACAAGATATAACACAAAGACACAAAAATAAATGTGAAAAAAGTTCAGGGTCTGATTGACGATATAGAGCTGACACTTAATCATGCTTTTTGATACTACGCCAGTTGTAAACAATACTTTTGTGAAAAGTGGTGTACACAAGAGAATTAAGAACAGACAAAATCTTTCTTTTCAAATTTCCGTCGAGTTTTAAGTAGAAGGCCAAATACGCCATGTCCCAATTTAATTAAATATATTTTATATAAAGTGATCTTGACTACGTTTCATCAATTGACCATTGATAAAATGAGAACATCAATTTTACAATTGTCTTTACAAGAAACACTATCAGTTGAACCTTGCAGCTTGTTCATAATTTTTATTATAAATACCTATAAATGTATATATTATTAATAAATCATTCCCATAATATTTTCTATTATTTTTTATTCTGCCCTATTTAAAAGGTCTAAGCTCCATAGAAAATGTGGCGTATGAAATAACTGACAATCACTGGAACATTTTATCTAGGTACAAAGATGTTTTACGTTTTCGTTTTGTATCTGAAACGAATATGAATATTGCATATATATATAGTAACAGGCTATGTAAGTCGCTATGCTAGGCACAGGCCTCGTCTTACTTCTGAGAGTGTTTTAGGGCAAGGAAATCTCCGCCGCGCTGCCCCAATACGCGTGGGCGAACTTCGCGTGTCTTCGAATTTTTTTTTCTTATTCCTCAGACATATGCAGAATCTCTCACGATGGTTTTTGCTTCACCGCCGATCAGCACTTAAAATTGCAATTAAAAATTTCATTGCTGCTACCGCGGATCAACCCGGGCGAAATTTACAGCGAGCGCTTAGATCCAGAGATACGACACAAATAAGTACGATTCAATGAATATAATAAAAATTCTTACTTAAACACTTGATAGCTCGTGATGCCTACCGGACGAAGCTACAGCACCACACCGTGCAATGTAATTGAAGATGCTTAACCGCGGTATAACTCTCAGTAACGCGCAAGTATAATAGGCAGTATATTACTTATATACTTGTCACATCTGCAGTCTATTAATCTTTGCACTTTTCTAAGTAATACAGAAAGTAGTCGCTAGAAGGTGTTGACGTCGGCTAAAATCTCTGCGATCGCCGTTTCATCAAGGGCATGTAGGCTTCTTAAAGCCTTAATGGGCGGCCCTCAGGGCTCAATTCTTGGCCCATTGCTGTTTTTAATTAATATTAATGACTTACCTTACCACGATAGAGTATTGTAATAATAAAATATTAATAAAATCCACTACGCCAAGTCATCCCGTGGGTGTCGTAAAAATAACAGAAGAAAACTGATATAGAAAATGTGCAATATCATTTCCTGATAACAACAATAAAACTGCTTTTGCCAATTTGTTGAGATCTCTCCTATGACGAAATCTATGGGAGAGGTCTATGCTCAGCTGTAAAATTTTGTAAGGCTGTATTGATGATGATGATGTTAATATCCCAATGTAAATTGTCTATGCACTTGCGCTATATGTTGTCCGGTAGGCTCCAAAGAGAATTTATAATCACTACGTTTACGTGGTAGGCTCCTTGAAGTGCAAAGAACCATAAGAGACTCCACACCCATTTTCTTAATTCATTTATTAATTTTATAACACAGTGTATCTGGAATCTCAATATGGAACTTTACAATTTTTATCAACACAAAACACTATTAGTCTGAACAAACTATTCTAACTTTTGCAACTTGGTGCGAAATGGCTGTATATTGTCCTTTCGTATTTTACGTATTAATCTTTGGATGTAAAAGAAAAACAAAAACGGCTCAAATTTTAAATATAATATTTTGCAAGTATTTTTATACAAAATACTTGCGAAATACTTGGCAACCGATAAATAATTGTTTATTATTTATCGGTTAATATCTATATCCAATTAAACAATTATTTATCGGTTGCCAAGGAGACGGTAAATAGATACCAAAACCAATACCAATATCTAGTTATAATTAACAAAGACAATGTGTATAAAGATTATAATATTACTATGTAACTATAAGTAGGTTTTTCATAATATTTGAGATTATCAACTGTTGTCTAAAGAAGAGAATATAAAATGAGTGATAATATTGAACGTCGTTCTTTTCCTTCAATTCTGCCGGCCATAGAAACATTACAGAGAAATGTGCGCTCTGTACCTACGACCTATGCCAGGTAAATTGTATAAGTTGCTAAAATATGATAATTTAATAAGACACTTACATAGCAGTTCGTTTCGATGAAAGATTTTATTTTTCTTTGAAGGAAACCTCGGGACATACCATTTCATTTGCCGCATAGAAAATTACTAGAAAAAATTGAATTTGTCGAAAAAGAACCTGAACCTTTGGTAACACATTTATTATTATTCAATTTAATATTTTTAATATTAAATACCTACCTAATATTAATTTTATAAGAGTTAAATGAAGACGTTGTTGGAAATATAACTATCTTTTTCTTCTTTACGCGATTAGTGAGAGCGAGTTTCGTTTCCTTATAAACATTGTTTCCACAGACTGGATTCTCTGCAGCCCAAGAAGAGAGATATGTTAAAGAGAAGAAAACCCCTAAGTTGCAACTGGAACCCATTAAGTTTGATGAAGGTACAATAACTTGAATACGTCCTTTTTCTATACATTTAATAAAATAGCATGCTAATCTCCACAATTCCTGAAATCTGAGCCAATTTTCATGTGGGTTTTTTTTATTCAAATTTTGATACGATGCGATGTGAGAGTAGATCAGGGGTTAAACATTCGATACAAATTTTATAGTACACGAGCAACCCGGGTTCGATCTCCGCCTACGCAATGAAATCAAGTGAAGGAAAACATCGTGAGAAAACCCGAATGTCTGAGAAATTGCATTGAAGCGGTGGCTAATTCGGCGGTCTTTCATTCACCCCCGTGGCTCAGAAAGCACATTAAGTCGTTGGTCCTGCACCTGATCTCTCTCTCGTCGTGTCGAATTACTGTCTTATCGGACTATGAGAGTGAGGGAATAGAGAGTGCACGCCGTGACCGAAATTCGGTCTGTAGGACATTATTATGTTTTAAATTGAACCAACATGTACTTCATCCATATTGGTTTAGTAGGGTGAAGACTTGAATTTATTTGTAAGTTTGAGCATGGAATGAAGAAGAGGAGATCTCCCACCGGGCAAGGTGTTCAGTGTTCAGTGTTCAGTGGCCAATGCTCCATGTGTTATTTCGGGGCTGTTCTATATATAACGCGTTAACTTCGGAACTTTGATAGCGTGATTTAATCTTTGGTGAGTTTCCCTTGTGGCGCGACGACAGCGCCGTCACATTAACTCCTTACTCAGACTGAAGGTCGATAGTGCAGTCCGATTGCCGGTGCGTCCTTAATGCCGGTGTGTAATGCATACCGTACTACGCACTTGTAAGTGATGCCGTTGGGAACGATGTAACGGACCAAGTGCCAAAAGTCTGTCTTATAAATCTGCGGTGAGTCGAGATTTTTTGGGCTGGCTTGCAGGAGATTTGCAAGAGATTTGGACTGGCTTGCAGGAGCTGAAGACTGCAGAAGACGATTCTTAAGAGTGAATGAAAGGGGTTTTTGAGGATAATTAATGACGAAGACTTGAAGTTGTAGTTTTCCGCCGGGATCACCAATTTTAGCCGTGAAAGTAAAAGGGGAAATCTTCCGCCGAGCAGGGTGAACAGCCCGGGGAGCGGCCAACGTTCCGAGGGTTATTTCGGAGCTGTTTCATATAGCGCGGTAACTTCAGAAGTTTAATGGCGCAATTTAGGCTACGGTGCGTTTCGCTTACGGCGCGACGACAGCGCCGCAACATAATCATTAAAACGGTTTATGATTATGTTGCGGTGTTATATACATGTTATTAAGGCGCTGCGTAAACCTAGACACTTTTGTGTCTTGTGTGTGCTATAAGCTACCAATGAATATTTTATTTTCATGTAACCAATATGAAATAAGCATTTCCTTGCGCAGACGCAGGCACTTTTTGTGTCCAGTTGTTTCACATACCGACCGCCAATCAAATAGTGTTCGGTGTAGATAACTAGACACTCTAAGTCGTCAGTTGAAGACAAAAGCAACACAAAACAAATTTCCTTACAATTGTACGGCGTTAACATTGACGTGTTTGATTTGCCTGTAAATATTGACGGCGACGACGTCTACGTCAACGACAAAGAAAGGTAATGTTCCTCCATCGACATCTAAGTTGAAACTGACGGAAAACAAGCAACAAATCGTTACCAGTGTAAAGAAGTAGCAACCGGTGACTGTGTCCGAATGTCGCTACCGAACACAGCAACTACGGTTTCCTGTGACCATCACCATGCGCCGTGTCGGTAACATAAAGTGTGCATGTTTGCGCAGCGCCTAAAAATAAGACAGCCTAAGGACACCGGAAACCAACTTCTAGCGAAGAAGGCTTGAGGCACGATCCCTGAAGACTAAGATGTTCATAATACTTTAAACTCTGTAATGACAGTGTAGGCGACAGAAATAGGTAATATTATGATTGTAGCACGAATGGGTCGGCTCGACCGGGGAAGGACCACGCTCTCACAGAATACCAGCGTCAAATAACAGCTTAACGCTGCTGTGTTTCGTATGGTGAGTGTAGAGACCTGGAGACCCTTTTCACTGGAAACGAGGCATTCCATCTTAGTCTTCGCGGGTGACAACGCATCTGCATTTTCATTCGTAATCGAAGATAGATGTAGATGTCTATGGGCTACAGCAACCACTTACCATGAGGTGGACTGTGTGCTCGTTTGTCACCCTTCTCTTATAAAAGAAAAGATAAGAGGGTCGTATCCATAAAGAATCTTTGTCAGAAAAAACGTCAAGGCTTACTACCCAACCACATATAATATGTTAGTTGGGTACATTAAGTAGGCGATTACCGTCACCGTGTTACCGTGATTGTATCGTCGGTGTATTCTTTCACACGTAGATCTTGTTTCCTTTAGCTAAGAAGAAAAAGACCCTTAAGATAAGAGAGTCAAGAGGCAGTATCGAAATAGCCGAAAAGGAAGAATACACCACGGATCCCCTGAAGGTGAAGCCAGAAGTAGCGTCGCAGAAGGAAGTGATAGATTATGTGAGACGCAACCCAAGCTGCGGTTTCCTCTATATGGTCTACGCGGTGGATCCGCAGAACGTGTATTTCACACCATACTATCTCAAGTAAGTACCTACATATATTTAAAACTGACAACAGTTGTTTATTGTTATCTTACTAAAGGATAACTAGAGTAACTGGTTTACTTCATGAATTTTGACAGTATAGCGATTTACTATCGAATAGACACTTGTTCCTGGATTAATATTTGGTAAAGCCAAAAGGGCTCTAAATATAGAGTAATTAGTGATTTTATTCGCAGGACTAAACTTGTATAACTTTGATCTAATCCGCCCTTAACCGTTAACTTGCGATCAGTTAAACTGCTCAGTTCAAATAGACATAAGTGAAAAAAAGATCGACACACATGGTCAGTTAAACTGATCAATTGAACTGATCAGTAATAAGAGTATAACCATATATTATGTAATAAATACTAATAGCACAGAATAAATAATAGTACTACATAGAGAAGTTGCACTCCTTTGATGTTGACTGCTTACCGACGTTTTAATAGCCTACATAATTATTATTAATCAGAAGATAAATCGTGCACGCAAGCTAAATAAAACTATATCGCAGCGCGCGAGCGTCCATGTTACATTGCATCTTTTCCTCTTCCTACATCACGACGTACGGGCTATTAATAAAGAGTAAAAAATGCCATCAAAAACATAACTTGTAAGAAAACCAAGTCTCGCAACTCAGTTCTTCTACCGTAAAAAGTTTTGAGATCCATGTAATACCAAGTCGGTTAATTTATTCAGTCCATACTTAAGGGTCCTTCTGTCTTAAGCTATTACGTAATTAGCTAACCTAACAGCATCTTATAGTGACCATATCAATATTAAAAATCTTTTATGTTTTAAATAAATACGTTGACTTGGCTATCGCATGAAAACACAATGTATCTCACAAGTAATACATATTATTATATTATATAAAATAAGATTGTTCAGTGCGATTGTAGAATTTTACGATAAGTCCCTCCACGTTTTCCATCCAGAACTGGTCATCTCTTTTTTAGGACTCCGTAGCCAATTGGCAAAAAACGGAACCCTTATAGATTCATCATGTCTGTCTATCTGTCCGTCCGTATGTCACAGCCATTTTTTTCCGAAACTATAAGAAATATGCTGTTGAAACTTGGTAAGTATAGTAAACTTGGTTAGATGTATTCTGTGAACCGCATTAAGATTTTCACACAAAAATAGAAAAAAAAAACAATAAATTTTGGGGGTTCCCCATACTTAGAACTGAAACTCAAAAATTCTTTTTCATCATACCCATACGTGTAGGGTATCTATGGATAGGTCTTCAAAAATGATATCGAGGTTTCTTATATCATTTTTTTCTAAACTGAATAGTTTCCGCGAGAGACACTTCCAAAGTGGTAAAATGTGTTCCCCCCCCCCCTGTAACTTTTAAAATAAGAGAATAATAAAACTAAAAAAAATATATGATGCACATTACCATGTAAACTTCCATCGAAAATTGGTTTGAACGAGATCTAGTAAGTAGTTTTTTTTAATACGTCATAAATCGTAAATTATGTTACTTGCAGCTACGGCAAAAGCAACCCTTCATGGGTTCCGTAGCAGCAAGGGTTCATGGGTTCAGTAGTCCGACTCGCACTTAGCCGCTTTTATTATGAATTAATATTTAATTTTACCGTCGCCTATCCACAGGCAAATGTACACATATTTTGAGCAGTTCGTAATTGGAATTAGTAGCACCATTTGCTTTTTGTATTGACTGTGAAAACGTCAGATTTTTACAACCAAAAGTCTTTTAATTTTTTAATTTTTTTAAAAATTAAATTTTCTTTTATTTGGTTGCTCTTCGGGTTCCATATTATAATCGGATCATGATTATTTCACTTCTTAAGAACCAGGTTCATATTTGCCGTCTGGACTAAAATACAGTCATGTATATTAAAATATACAGCCCTTTCTAATTCTCGTGACGCTTTATGCTCGTTGTTTTTGCAATTTTTGTATAAATGACACATTGCTTAAATCGTAGCCACACAGTAATTGCTTAGCAAGGAGAGCTCAGTTGGTATTTTCAAGCCGTTTGCAAACTCTGGAAAACCATGAAGCTGTTAACTTTTCTTCTAGTTTTCAAGAGCGAGTTTGCACTTTGTAAAACAGTGCTCCTTTCAATATATTTTTTCAGTTCTGGAGACTTAAACAACTGTTAAGTATTTATAGATATATAAGCACAGATGTTTGGTCTGACAAAGACCTTTTACCTGTTGAACCCTCAAAATTTTTTGAATGACATATGATCTGGTTGCTCAACTCGTTTTCTGATCGGGAACATGTGACAAAATAACTTTTTTATTTTTTATTTAATTTTTCACCTCACAGTACCGGACATCTTTACTGTGCTGGTGACGAATTGTCGCAGCGGTAGAGGAAGCATTGTAGCTTGTGCCATATGATTGTTTACTTAAAATGCGTCTGCAATGACGGCTATTATTGGTGTTCCTTGAGACGACATATTTTCGATGAGTTTTACATGCTCCACCTCTTCTCCCCTAGCCTCAACCATACAATGTTCCACCGTTTGTTCCTACCATCGGCATACTTAGTTACGCGTTGCTTCACACAACCGCAGAGGTACGGTGGGATGTCTCCGTAGGCAAGAACAATATGAAGTTGGATATATCCAGCACCAGATTTATGCCTATTTTATTATCGCCTTAGAGCACTTTTTCGAGCTTTAAATTCTCAACACACATTTTGCGAAGAAGTTTATCATTTTAATGGAGGCCAGCTCTTTTTTCTTTATTAATACTGCTGCTCAAGAAACTTCACTAATTCTTCTATCTTTTGCCTTACATTCTTTAACTGCACATTATTATCATTTAGATCCTGTAGTTAAAAAAGACAACATTAATACCTAAAGTTAAATAATAAAACAATATCTCATTTCTTTTAAATTATCCCGTTTTTATCTCTTTCTATTCTATTCTATTTTCTTACTTTGCCTGAAGTTAAACCATAATTTAGTAAGCACACAAACCTTGTTATTTGTGTGTAATCATGCATAACTAACTAGCTATAGAGTACAAGATTAATTAAATAAATTCTCTTAATTTTTCGTTTTCTTTTATTTGCTAAAAATAGCTTGGTGTTATTTCCCATTACGTCTGAATTATAAATTCATTGTAACTCTAAAATAAATATTGTCGCTCATCAAAATAAAACAATAATATCATATTTTACTTACTAAAGTAACAAGACTTGTCGCTAACGCAGTTAACGCTATACTAGTGCACTATCTCATGCATGGCAAACTTCAGGCAGAGCACCGAGCGACGTGGCCTCTCCCTGGATAGCCTAGCGGCTGTCTAATTTGAATTGATCCAAACACGGAGTTTTATTGTGGTTTTATAATACATTTAAAAATATTTATAGAAAAATAATAAGGCTATTTTATTTTTAATTTTAAAAGTAAGGTTTAAAAAGATGTACTTCTAACATATTAAGCTAATATTTTATAAAATAAGTAACATAAATTGGTGAAAATAATCGTTTTATTCACGGCATTTTCAGTAAAAAATCACTTGGTTTGAATTTTAAATTGCTTATGTCACTTAAATCATAACATCTTTTCTAATAATTATTTTCCTTGGAGCTTGTCAAATCGATTTTATTTTTTGTTTGGTAAAATTGTCAGCCATTTCAGATATTTTAAGCTTTGAAATTGACGCAAAAGGAGAAATTAATAAAACCTCTGCTTAGTTTTCTTGGTAGCATCCGCAAATACTGCATTAATATAAAAAAATATCTTACAACTATTTAGACCATAACATTTTCTAAAGTTATGAGTAATTAATATATGTGTAAGATAATCGGTCGATGGATATTAACAGGTTTGAAAAGTACTGTTTTGAGGATATCAGCGCTTGGAACGTATACACGTACTTAAATTAGTCGTGTTTAGATCACCTAGTGTCTAACCTACGGACAACCTTGAGAGTCAATCTATTTTTGTTCTATAAAATTATTTTAACTATAGAATGAAGCAGACGTCGCTATTCCAAAGAAATTCTTGTCAAAAGAAAATATTCCTTTCATTTAATACACAAAAATTTAGGCTCTTCATGTCTAAAGATAGGGTTGTAACATTTACTTTGTATAAAATAAAATAAAACTTTTATCTTATATTTTATGGCGCACTTGTGGTTGAAAATTATCAAATTAAGTAAATCATTTGCTGTGAAATGTTTTTATTTTATATTTAATTTCCTTTGTAGGCATTTAAAGGTTTCATTTTTAACGTGTGTGAACTTCACGCATGTTTTTTTTTTATCTCGTGTTATTTTATTTTTCTTTGTGATGTCAAATAAAGCTTTCTTACTATATATATATAGATTTCTAACTCGTTGCTCTCGCGCGGCTGCTGAACATGGGGTCTTGGGTTCGAATCCCGGATCGACGATTAGTTCTGGGGTTTCACTGTCATGGAAACCCCAGTAGCAGCCTCAGGAAATAGGTGGTGTGTAACTAGCGTGCCACGGAAATCACGCAAACATGTTGGTACTGCACTTAATTTCTTCCCCGGCTCTCGATAACCATCCCATGAGACTGTGAGAGTGAGACAATAGAGAGTGCACTTGTGATTGTACATACACGTGGACACTATAATCTTGTTCAGTCTCATGTTTTTATCAGTTGAGACTACATTTTTCAAATTGAACATTCCTATTATAATAGATAACTATATCCTGTGACCTAAATCCGGATTGGAGATCATTCATAAAGCATTTCTTACCATACGAAATACAGGGTTGTGAAGTACGAGGAATTGGACAAGAGGAACTACCTGACGATCAGCCCCTGCGGCGTGACGCACTACACCAGTGAAATGGTTTTCACGACGCTAGCTGACTGGGAGCAGGAGTACACTATTTTCGTGAAGCTTACTAATGTGAGACTCTCCCATTAACTTACGTTGCTATTGAGTAGAGTTATAAATTTTTTTGTTTTGTTATCGGATTTTTCATTAAGATAATATATATATAGCTATTTATTAACTTTGTATGGTACATATGTAAGTCATAAAATAAGCCTATTAAGAGTTTTCTCAAATGTGTAATCCGAATTAGATAAATACATAGTATTAAAGTTGGTAAAATTACTTTGCGTACATTCGCTCGATAAAATAAAATTATGTATCTTACCTAGTTTAAAGAGCACCTCCCGTACTCCCTCAATTGCGTGTACTATCCCCGTTAACACTAATCCCACCACCACTACTCCTAACACCACTATACTAGGACAGGCACACCACTGACGACAATACGACACGTGTTTCGCCTCTACAAGAGGCATCTTCAGGTGTAGTAGACTCTGCGGTGGCTAGTTAGGGAGTAGTTGTTCCCCAGTTATAGTGACTCACTCCATATCGATAGCCATAATGCAGCAGCTGTTTTCTATTTTCCGACTCCACAGAGTCAGTAATACGTTAATGGGGCAATAGATACGCTATTACAATATGGTCTCAGAAAATATACAAGATATAAAAAGGGTTATTATAATATACAGGATTATTTTGCAATAACCGGACAAAACAGATAAGGTTCAGAATAATTAATATAGCCAAATGGTGAAGAAAAATGAATAAAAAATAATCACAAACATTCTGTCCTTTTTATCTTTTAAATTCAAAATGCGTGGTAATGTCGAATAACTAATTGTCATTCGTAAATATCTAACACCCACTATTTTACTACGCACGCATATATTCGCAAGGGTTGGTCGGTCGGCAAAAACGTTGTGAATTGAATTGCACACAGAGGAGCGCGCGTACGCGTATTCGTTGACCATAAATCACATTAAATTTGAGATAATTTTAAATGAAAGTAGAGGCCTTATTTACTCGTACTTTCAAAAACTGCAATAACGGTATATCATTACTTATATATTTGAAATTAAGTATAAAATTTCGTTACTCAACAACTACTTACAAAACTTAAAGCTTAAGTTTTATAAGTAGTTTGTACAATCTGTGTTCTTATTGTATAATGTAGGTACTTTGTATAAAAGGGTTCTTCTGGGTTTCTTCCCAGGACAGAGGTTTTTTTCCAAAGTAGTCTTTAATTAAATATTTCACGTACTATTTTTCACCTTTTCAAAACAGACTAAAAGTATTACACCTTCATCTGATTTTGAGCTATGTTCAAAATTTCAAGTCTCTAGGTAATTGGGAAGTAAGTTTAATATCAATTATTAAGCCACGCTCTCACAGAATACCACCGTAAAATAGCAACTTAAAACTGCTGCGTTTCTTATGGTGAGTGTAGAGAACCGGAGACCCTTTTTACTGGAAAAGAGGCATTCCATCTAAGTCCTCACGGGTGACAACGCATCTGCATTTTGATTCGCAAGCGAGGTTAGATGTAGATATCTATGGCCACAGCAACCACTCACCATCAGGTGGACTATGTGCTCGTTTGTCACCCTATCCTATAAAATAAATTCAACCAGAACAGACATACATGAAATCGAGTTAATAAAAACGTGATAAGAAATGAAAGAATATATATATATACGTGGTACAGTCACGCTACAGCTGTATTATGGTTGTAACACGAATGGGTCGGCTCGACCGGGGAAGGACCACGCTCTCACAGAAAACCAGAGTAAAATAGCAGCTTAACGCTGCTGTGTTTTGTATGGTGAGTGTAGAGAACCGGAGACCCTTTTCACTGGAAACGAGGCAATCCATCTTAGTCCTCACTGGTGACTACGCATCTGCATTTTGATTCGTAATCGAAGATAGATGTAGGTGTCTATGGACAACAGCAACCACTTACCATCAGGTGGACTATGTGCTCGTTTGTCACCCTATCCTATAAAAAAACAACTGTGTTTCGTATAGTGAGAGGAGAGAACCAGAGGCGCTTTTTACAACGACGCATCTGTATTTTGATTCTTAATAGAAACAGAAACGGAAACTTTTTTATTCAATATAGATTATAAATAAAAGATATAGCAAGTCACTCTTGTTTAATTAAGGATAAATGTTACCACTTACCATCAGGTGGACTGTGTGCGTGCGCTTTTGTCACCGTATTCTATTAAAGGATATGATTTCACATCCTATTAGTAACGCGTGTTTGTTCTTGTTTGACAGATAAAGTTCTTCAAGGTGTACAGATACTGGAAGGCGCTGTACGTGTGGCGCAAGTCGCTGGTGTTTCGCAAGTACAGCCGCTTGCGCAGTAAGCTTGCCAGACAGCTGTTCGTGCTCACGCCTCCGCTCGGCCGCGCGTTGCTTACGCTGCAGGCCATGTGCTGCCAGATGCTAACCCTCTCGTTCGCGGACCTCTCCCGCGACATGGACACCCCCTTTTTCTATTTTATAGAAGCTCAGGTGATTATGCTTAAATAGATCGTAGATAGTAGCACGTACCGTGTAATGGCGGTGTAAGAATATCTATACTCCATATCATTCCCTGGGTGTAGTAAGGGGAGAAACAAACAACAAATTAGGATATGGGCAGCCGCATCTTCCTACTCATCATTACAGCCCTTCACAAGTCCACTACTGCACATGGGATACCACATGGGATATCACCAAGGAATACCACAAAGCACAGTCCAGCACTTACTGTATGTCTTACCACGTCTTCACTCCATCTAGTGAGCGGCCGTCCACCGATACGAGGCTGCCACTTCCTATCGGTTATCGGTTCTTCGAGCTATATGGCCGGCCCATTACCACTTCAACTTATTAATCCGTTGGGCTATGTTGGTCACTCTGGTTCTACTGCGGATATCATCGTTTCTAAGTTTATCACGCAGAGAAACCCCGAGAATGCCCATCTCCATAGCTCGCCTAGGAATCTTGAGCTTTCTTATACGGCCAGCAGTGAAGGACCACGTGTCAGATCCATAAGTCATCACTAGCATCACACACTGGTTGTAAACTCTCGTAATGTCTTCTTAAATTTACACGAAGACTTTTATATTTGATAGACCACAAATCCTCGCAAAAGAACACCGATTCCTACCAAGGATGAGGCTATTGAAATTTAAAAACATCCTAATTTCAATAGAGAAGATGGATGGGTGCTGTCATCTGCTTGGGATCCTATAATTATTAAATTAAATCCAAACTCAAGCATACCACTGCAAGACTTCAAGATACTGTAAGCTCATTCTGCGTAGATCGGGCTAACTATAACATCGGAACGTCAAATATCTCAGTTCCTCCCGTGACCATGGGTGCTGTAAAGCACTCGATACGTCGTAATACCCGACGTATCGAGTGCAAAAGTTAAATTAAACGCGATAAAAAATTAGTTTCATTTAATGTACACTTTCGTCTTCAAGTTTTGAGGTATATCTGACGAGAAGATATGTCGTAATTTCTCGAACGCTGCCCAGCCGAGTTGAATCCGTCGATTGACCTCTCGGTCGAAGTTGGACTTACCTAGTCGGACTATTTGTCCTAGGTAAACATACTCGTCAACAACTTCAAGCTTAGTGCTACCAACAACTACCGGCATAGGTGTGACATGGACGTTATACATGATTTTTGTTTTGTCCATATTTATCTTAAGGCCTATCCGTTGGGAGACACTATTGAGGTCATTGGGTATAATGGTTAGGTCCTCGAGCGATTCTACCATAAGGACTATATCGTCGGCAAATCGAAGGTGAGTGATGTACTCGCCATTGATGTTAATACCGTATCTTTCCAGTCCAGTATCTTGAAAACGTCTTCCAATGCAGCGGCAAAGAGTTTCGGGGATATACATAACGTCACCCTGTTATACACCTCTCTGCGGTTGGATAGGTTTCTAACTCTGGTTCTGTACTTGAATAGCCATCGTATCCCTACTGCATAAACGCTTCAGCACTTCGATATACCGACAGTCAATTTGGCTCGGCAGAAGCGACTGCAGCATCGCTCATATTTCGACGGAATCAAAGGCTTTCTCGTAGTCCACATACGCAAGACAACGTGGCAAATTGTTCTCGGTCTTCTGTACAATTTGTCGAAGGGTATGTATATGGTCTATGGTGATAAAGCATTTTCGGAAACCGGCTTGTTCGGCAGGCTGGAAGTCGTCGAGTCAGCGTGCGAGACGATTGATACTGATTCTCAAAAACAACACATAGACGCGGCTGAGCAGAGTAATCGTTCTGTAGTTCTTAAAAAGACCGTTATCACCTTGGACAACAAGTCCAACGTACTTTTGCTCCACGCCTCTGGAGTAGTCCCACCATGGATTAAAGCTTCTGAATTGAAAGTTGAATTTGAGTTGATGAAGTACCATCTGTAACCCACATACACAGTGCTGGCTTACAATTGTAAAAAATAGTAGGTAGTGTTGCTTAATGTAGAGCATGATATTATTATTAAACGTCACTCGTTGTAATAAAATTACGTCAAGAAGAACATTAGTTGCTGTTAGCTTAATAACTAGTATTAAATACTTCTAAAAACGTTTACTTTACTATTTATTAATTCAATGAACTTTCCTTCGTACTCAACACAGGCTTAGGACTGTCTGTCTGAATATAATTTAATTTCATTATTATATTTGGGGTTGGTTATATAACAGCTGTATTGTTATTAAATACGAGTATAGTCCTAAATGGTACTGTTTCGAAAATTCATAAAAATGCAGGCGAGCCCGTTTAATTTAGGACTAAGTAATTAACGTTGACTTATGTTTAAATTTAATTTATTAAAATACAGTATAAAGTGCTGTTGTATCATATGATTGTCGAATAAAAGGTCCATATTTAATCACAACGATTCTAAAGACGTATTTACGTGAAAATGTCAGATGCAACGGCTGGAGCATTGCGTGGTGAGGTTGCGCGAGTTCCGCGCGCTGTCGCTGGAGGCGCTGACGGCGGCGGCGCACGCGGCGTTACTGCGGCGCGGCTTTGTCTTCGACGACCGCAACGTGCCGCCGCCGCAGATGCTGCGCGGACGCCTCGTGGGCGGCATGACCTACACACAGAAGGCCGACAAGAGGAAGTACTGCGAGCGCCTGGCATGGTACCCGCCAACCTTCACCTCCTCCAACGCGTCGCCTTCGAAATCTTTGCATAGACTTCTATGTACTGGACGACATTACGGTACTACATAGTGGAGTGACCGACATAGCCCAACGGATCAGTAAGCTGAAGTGGCAACAAGCCGGCCATGTAGCTCGAAAAACCGACATCCAAAGGGAAGAAAGGTTCTCGAATTGCATCCTCGTATCGATAAGCGAACTGTACGGCGGCCTCTTACTAGATGCAGTGAAGACCTAGTAAGTGATGCAGGAAGTCAATTGATGAAGCTGACTCAAGACCGTGATTCGTGGCTTTCCTTAAGAGGGGGCTATGTTTAGCAGTCGACTTGTAATGATGATGATGATTGTTAGGCTTTGGTAACTATCAAGCGCGAAAGTAGTGTAGTTGTACCACTTCTAGACCACCTGAGTCAGACGTGGTTCAACGACGTTCGTCGACGCCCGATCCTAAAAAAAAAAAAAAAGGTTATGGCATGCTCTGATCACGAATCCGCGGTCCATTTTTGTGTAGAATGCACGGTTCCGGAGATGTGTAGATCAATTAGCTAATATCTAATTGATATCCGGTAAGGGCCTCCACCGTCATTAGCGTCCCATTGTTCCTATTTCTATTGTTCTATTGTTCATTAATCACCCTCATTGCAGCGTGTGCGTCGACTATATCAGTGCTATTGTTTATTATAATTCTTTGTTTATACAACGCTAATCTGAATCATCAATAAAACACATTACATAATTTTGTTACAATTTTTATTTATAAAATACAAAATCTTATTAATTATTATCTATAAAATAGGAGCGAAACATCTCATCCACTAAAATATCGTTGTACAATGTGTTCCTTGTAAATATACTCGTAAAACTATGTATTGAACATCCTTGAAACTTATATAGTAAATACATTAAGCAATATTTGCCACAAACTGAAGTCCACTCATTCTGAATCCTATCAACATTCCAGTTCCATCTTTTACAATTCCTTTTTAAAAACTCTAGATGATATCGTACAGGTGATCGTCCATATGAATCAAAATATTGACCGACGTCATTCGTATCGATATATAAAGCTACCCAATGTGACCCTGGTTTATCATCTGTATCCAAATTACATATTATATACGTTGGTACGTGGGTATACATAGGCAGTCTATTAGCTGCATAAACATTATTTTCTAGACTGGGGTGAATCTTTTTCAGATGTTGTTGTACATCTAGTGTATCCATGATATTACTGCTATTAGTAGATTATTACAGTACCTAGCTACTCAATGAATAACATAGGAATGGTCAATTATAGTGATTTCTACATATTAAATTGCATTTTTGTGATATACAAATCGTACTTGAGTCATTGATCACCAAACAAAACACAATACGAAGAAATGTTGAGATAGGCAACGGAAATGTGAGATAAACTGATATGTTTCTAAATATTAAATTGCATTTTTGTGTTATACAAATCGTACTTGAGTCATTGATCACCAAACAAAACACAATACGAAGAAATGTTGAGATAGGCAACGGAAATGTGAGATAAACTGGTTGACGCATAAAGTAATTATCAACTCATTACGGAAATACTTTAGATTAGAATTTTTACGTACTGGTGGTATATAAGACCAACAAACGCAGTCATCGAGTTAGTGTACGGTCGTTTGGCTACAGTGGATCTATCAATAGTACATTTGTGTTACTTCAATACACCAAAGGCTATGGATGTAAGTGTTTATTCTATTGACTAAGTTACTTTTTTTCTGTTATTTTCATGTGTGTGTGTATTATTTTATTTAAATATTGTGTATGTATATGATTAAGCCGTGGTAACTCAGATGGTTAGCGCTAGCTGTAAATTTCACAGTACGCGACCCGGGTTCGATCCCCGCCAGCACCAATTAAATTGTTAATAGCAATTTTAAGTGCTTATTACCACGTGCTTGGTGGTGAAGGAAAACATCGTGAGGAAACCTGCATGTCTGAGAAAATTTCGAAGGCATGTGAAGTTCACCAACACACATTGAGGGAGCGCGGCGGACATTTCCTTGCTCTAAAACCCTCTCAGAAATGAGAGGAGGCCTATGTTCAGCAGTGGACTTTAATAGGCTGTAACTTTAACTTTTTTAACTTTTATGATTAAGTGTTAACAAATTGATATTAACATGATAACTGTGTTGTTGCAGAAATCATTGAGCTTCGATGAAGATACCTATAAACAGTATTACTACTCGCCACTCTCCCCTCAAGAAGAGAGTGATAACCTCGTCATTAATAATAACACATGCGATGGTGGAAAAAGAAAATCGCAATCGATTGATCATTTTTTTGAAGCTGAATCAAAAATAAAAAAGAGGAAGGGAAAACTTCAGTGAAGTGTGCACCAGTGCTTTTTTCTCCACAATCATGGAAGAGAATACGGAACTATTCAATAGCGAATTAAATCAGGAGTTGTCTAAAGTTTGTGAAGAAATGGAGAGGGGTCAACTGTTCGATTCGTCATACGATGATGAGTTGTATCATCACTGTGCGATGGTTGAAACACAGTTTAAGTATGTAAAATAAACATTCATTTCGATCATAATTTACATATTGTCTTAAACAGTTTTTAATAAATTTAAACATTTTAGCAGTCAACCACTACAACTTGGAAGAGGAACGAAGCGAACGTGCAGCAAAGAATCCAAGATCATCAAAAAACCAACAACGGAAGCAGAAGCGCATACCTCTGCAGGGAACAGTATCAGTAACGATGATCAAGTGGAATGTCCAACGTGCCATATATTTATCAAGAAACGGTATTTAGCTAATCATTTTAAAAGTAATGTTCATAAAAATAATCTTTTAAATTCACATAATTCTTTATCAAACGTTAGTGTTATTGAATCTGCTTTTGGAAATAGGATTTTAACTTATAAAATCAAGAGTAGAGTAGATCGTTCGACATGGGTAAATTTTGAAACTCCTGAAATTCTATTAAAGATGATATTTTATTTTTATTACAAGAGTGTATTCATCAAAACATAATTTTTAAGGTAAACTTCATATTGCATGCTGATTTTGTTCAACAAACTAAAGATATTCATGATACGTTCGATTTTCAAACGCTTAACTATATTATTTGTCAAGGAGATGACTTAAATATTTTTCTTTCATCTTTAAATGATACAATTACTACTAAAATTAGTGCTTTCGAAAAAAAAGATAGTGGATGGAGTCTAAAAAACATAAAATCTATAGACATGAATGTTAATAAATTTAACCCCCTACGCGGTACTTCATACATAGATCTTCCTCGTGACATAAAATTAAAAAAGGCTGTTATAAATGTAAAAAACAAGGATTATTTTTGTTTTAAATGGGCGTTACTCTCGGCGTTATATCCTGTAAACAAACACACCGATCGGGTATCATCGTACGTTAAACATGCAAATAAACTTAAATTTGATGGTATTTCCTTTCCGGTTAAAATTTCTGACATAGCAAAAGTAGAGAAATTAAATGATATTAGTATTAATGTTTTTGGGTTAGAATATAATAAAGAAAAACGATGTAATTCTATAGTAGGTCCATTATTTTTAACAAAGTGTCGTAAAGATAGACATATCAATTTATTATTTTTTTCCAAGGATACAAAAAATCATTATTGCTATATAAAAAATTTATCGCGGTTAGTTAGTAAACAAATTTCAAAAGACGGTCACATCATGTACATTTGTGAAGCATGTCTACTTCGTTTTCCATCTCAGGAAAGGTTAAATAACCATGAACAATACGATTGTGCTCACATTTGTACAGTATTACCAAACAGTGAAACTTTAAAAAAAAAAGAATTGGTTTGGTCAACCTATTTCAAATGATAAAATTAAATTTGATAGTTATGAAAAAAAGTTAAAGATACCATTCGTAGTTTATGCTGATTTTGAAGCATTTTTAAAACCAATAGAATCATGTTCTAACGATCCTTCCAAACCTTTCACTCATAATATTCAGAAACATGAAGTACATAGTTTTGGATATTATATAAAATGTTCATATGATGATAAATTATCAAAATATGTAACATATTGCGGACCCAACTGTGCACAAGTGTTTATGGAAAGTTTATCTAACAATCTAAAAGAAATAAATAGACTTCAAAAATATCCACCACTTCCGCTAACAAATGAAGACAAAAACCAAATTTCAAATGCAACCATTTGTCATATTTGTGAAACTGAGTTGGCAAAACATTTTTATGATTTTGATTGGTACACTGGTAGTTTTATAGGTGTTGCTCATGAATCATGTTGTTCGAAGATCAGAACACCTAGTTATATACCAATATTTTTACACAACCTTAGTCACTATGATGCTCATTTTATTGTTCACGCGTTAAACTTTTGTGATGGTGAAGTCGAAGTTATCCCTCAAAATAAAGAAAAATATATATACTTTTCCAAAAAATTAAAAGTGAATAACCACGAAATTATATTGAGATTCTTAGATTCATTTAAGTTTTTATCGTGTAAATTAGAAGAATTGGCCAAAAATCTCAGTAATGATCAATTTCAAGAATTACGTAGAAATTACCCTAATGATGAAGATTTCTTTCGTTTAAAACGGAAAGGTGTTTATCCATATGAACTTATGACTAAATATGATAGTTTAAGTCTAACATCGCTCCCTGAACAAAAATGTTTTTATAGTTCACTCACAGATTCACATATTTCAAATGATGATTACAATCATGCTAAAGATGTTTGGGAACATTTTGGGTGTTGTAATATGCTAGATTATTCAAACCTATATTTAAAAACAGACGTTTTACTTTTATCCGATGTATTTGAAAACTTTAGAAAGTTATGTATTAATACATATGATTTAGACCCTGCCCATTATTACACAGCACCCGGTTTAAGTTGGGATGCAATGTTAAAATATACAAAAATAGAATTAGAACTTTTAACAGATTATGAGAAAATTGCATTTATTAGATCAGGTATCAGAG